CTATTTTTTTATTACTTTTGACTTCATCATAGCCATTGATGTTGTAGATCCAATGCTCCAAATTTATTCTTATTTCTTTCATTGGGAGTCATTCTCATATGATCCCTTACCATACAAATAATATTGTGTACAAGAAAGTTTTGAATAATATATTTTTTGCCTGAGGAACAATTTATGTTCTGACAATTTTCCTACGAATTATCACTTTTTATTTATTAATACAATTTAATTTTTAATATTCTCCAAAATAAATACATCACGTGCATCGCACGGGTCCATACTGATTTATTGTAATGGACATCAATAAAATTATTGCAGATGTTAATAAAATTATTCAATGAAATAATTTGATTTGATCAATTTTGAAAATATTTATACGCATGCAAATAGTCAATGCTTATATTTAAAAAGTTTTCAAAGCAGATATATATTTTATCGAATATGTTTTGCTCTATTTAAGTAAATTCTTATTCTCTTTATATATTGAGAGAGATATACAGATTTGAAATTAACTACAAATGGCAGATGAGGATAACTTGGGTGAGTGGAGATAATAAGTCTCAACAAGTCCGTTATGGAAATGGATCCAGTACAGCCACGGCCCAATCCTATGTTTCTACTTTCTCCCGGGATGACATGTGCAAAGGTATGTACTTATTAAATTTTATTTTATAACTAGTAGAACGCCTGTGTATTACACGGGTGCTTGCTAATTTTTTTTCTTAAAATCTAAAATCAATGAGAAAAAGTAGTTGAAAATTTAAATACATTTTATAAAATATATATATATATATATATATATATATATATATTATTATATATTTAGTATGACACTTTTTATTTGTGCGACTTACCTGTGTTATATTATAATAATTTTTTAACTTACAACATATAACTATATTAAACATAAATAGATGAATTGAGAAATAATTTTATTTTTCTAATGAATTTTAATAAATATTATTATTTTTTATTATTATAAAGATAAATATAATTTATTTATTTCATATATACAATATGGATGTCAAATCGAAGATCATCAAAAGATGATTAATTTAATATATTATATATGCAAAACCGATAAAAAACGCAAAAGTTATCAACTTTTAAAATACATTTACAATTCAATAGCTAACTGAAGGAAACACATCAAAAGCAGGGATATATTAGTCACTTAGTGCCTCACTATGTAAAATCTATATATATATAAAAAGAATTACCATTTTTTAAAAATGGCAAGTCAAACTATGGTCAAATATTGTTGAGCATTAATTGCATGCTATTAATAGCAAGTTTTTATTTTATTTTTTTATTTACAAATGTGCATCATTAATTGTTGCATTTAAATGTGGAGTTTTGTTAAGTGAAGTTTGTTACTTATTTTTGCTCAAGATTAGACTGTTCCTTTTTCATTTTCACAAATTTAAAAAAAAAAAAACTTTCTTTAACATATAATTGTGTACCACATTGCAAATTTTATTTTATTAAAAAAATAAATTACGCCTAACTTAATAATATAAACTTAAGTTAGTATTTACAAAAAAGCAGGAACTCTTTTTAACATCAACTCGGCTACTACAATTGTTTTAATCGGATACTTTTATTTTTAAATAAAATAAACTATAGTTCATTTAATAATCAAAATATAAATAATTTTATTCTATTCTTTTTATATTTTTTTATATATAAAAATAACAAAAAATTAATCTAATATTAATATCGTCAATATTTTATTTGCGCAAGAACGGGTTGTAATATTTTCATTTTCACAAATTAAAGATTATTTTTTAACAGAAATAAGATTACCAAATTGCATTAATTTTTTATAAAAAGAAATTACGACTGATTAAATAATAAAAAATAACTTTAGTATTTGCAAACAATTTGAAGCCTTTTGAACATCAAATCGGCTAAAACCATTAAATTAATTAATTCTTTATTTTTTTTAAAAATACCAGTTCCTAAAGTTGCGGTTGATTTAATTTTCAACAAGAATTTTTTTTGATAACAGAAAATCGTGAATCACATTGCAGCATAGATTGGTGGATTTGGTTCCATTAAGTTCCAGAAATTTCGATCATTGAATATAATTTGAAATTTAAAATCCTTTCTCATTTTTGATTTAAAAAATTCGATTGTGTTTTTTATTCCAAACAATCAGATTGCCGAAAAAATAACCTTCTTGAATTGAAAATTTGAAATTCAAAATCACTTCTCATTTCAGTTGCCATAAAAAAAGGGGGCTTAATTCAAAATCTCTTCCTAATATAAAGGATTTTGTTCAAATTGAACAAAAAAATCTAATCACATGCTTCTATCCTTGGACGAATAACCTTAATGAAGGATTTTATGCCACTTTAAAAATTAACAAACCTCTTAGAAATTACAAAATCATAATGAATTTTAAAATTATTGGTTTCATTTTGCACGAAATTCAACATGGTTTAAGAATTTCAAATCAATTGAAATTCATCTCTTTAATTTTTTTCCATAAGTTTCAAAAAGTTACAATAATTAAGTCAAATTACAGATGTATTGTTTCAAAAATCAAGAGGATATAGTTTTGAAAATAGACTTTTTTTTTCAAAATCGTCTTAATCTTCATTTAATATAAAATAAAGCTACTATGTTAGGAGTTTTTAATTGTTTAAACATTCAAACTTTATGTTCTTTTGAACAAGCTAATTTTATATCGTTTATAATAAAATGATATATCATAAATTATATGACATGTTAACCCTACATCGTTAATTTATAATTAATATTTAATATCGTTTACCCTCATCTTTATTTTTTTCTTGCTCTTTTAAGAGATGCTTAATAGTGGTTCCCCACTTTTTGCATTGGGTGACTCGAACTCAATACTTATTTGTAATAAATATTTAATATTGTTTACCCGTGCATCGCACGGGATACACACTAGTTACAAATAATTAAAGGGTTATATTAGTATAAATAATATTAAAATACTTAAATTAGCTAAATAATATTTATGGAATGTCCGAACCTAGATTATTAATTATTAATATATCAATATTATTTTTCCAAACCTAATTACGAAGCATGATTCTTCGCCAAGTAAGATTCCGAAGCAGCAGAAGCAGCCACATAGGCTCAGCGCATTCGAGAATTATATATAGGGAATCTATAGATCATCAAATTATAATTAAAATAAACACTACAAGTAACTTTTTTTTTCTGAAATAATAAAATGGCGGAAATGTGTTACATATGCAACAAAGTACAGTACACATTGATTGCAGCACGAGTATTAAAAATATTATATACTTATAATTATTATGTTAATGGTACATATAATTATTATGTTAATGGTACATATACTTATAATTATTATTTTTTTTCTCATTTTATGATGGTTATACATGAAACGTATAAAATTAAATACAGTTTTCTATATTCTAAAAACATATTAAAAAAACATTATACGAGCACCTAGGCTGCGTGACCAACTTGCCAATTGCTTGGACCGCTTAACCTGCCAAGATGACGCCTAATTACACGACCACCTAAACGAAATTTGGCGTACTCGGGTGTCGCCTAGCATGATTTATAGAATATTGATATCAACAGGGGCGGAGCCAGCCTCATCATTCACCGGGGTCAGCAATATTTTTTAGTGGGGTCATTAACCTAGTAAACAGTGTTTGAACAGTATTTTATACTAAAAATTTTGAAATCTATAGGGGTCAGCTGACCCCAGCTAGCAAGTGCAGCTTCGCCCCTGGATATCAACCATAAAACCGACTTTATTTGTTACTCGAGATAGATTCATTTTTTACTTTTCCCGTTGTTTGATACAAAAATGTAAATGCTCGAAGTCGATTATAATTTTGCACGAGTTTTTGTAAAAACAAATGCAATAAGAATGTCTAATTAGATGTATTTATACAATTCTACGTACATTCGACCGCCTTGTTGAGTACCCGAGCTTACAAATTACAAGCTCGAGCTCTATTTGAGTTCAAATTCGAGGTGCTCGAACTCGACTCACGATTGGTCAACCTCAAGCTTGAGTCGAGCTGTTTACTCCTTGTTATATTCTCTCATAATCCTAGTTGGAAGCAACAATTAATGTGAATAATTTGAGAATTAAAAATCTAATAAATAGCCTAATTTAACTATTATGTTCAGGTGTCTTTATTAAAAGTCCGGCTTCTGATTTTGGGTGGCACGACCCTGGCTACATCCATACCGCAACCATGACCGGGCTACGTCCTTCCACCTCTTACTCCTATGTATATGGAAGGTAATTAATTAACACTATTATTAACACTATTACCTATAACATCATGAAAGATAGTAGTATCCCCCTATATATTAATTCAAAACGTGCTGAGCCTAAGTGTTAGGCTCACACGTTTTGGAATCCTACATGTCACAATATCATGCTTCGTATTTATGTTCGGATAAAAAATCAGGAAAAAAATTGGCTTGAAAAGTGACATAAATAATTTTTCCACAATACATCACTGTCCCTCAATCTCTCATTGATTACCAAATTTGGTCTGAATAAAGATCAAACAAATCTTTCTTTTCTTATTTCATTTTTTCAGTTTAAAGATCACTTGAGTTTCATCATTGAGTTAATAATGTATCTTTTATTTGACAGGGATCAAATGTCACGGTAATAATATTTCTTTTATTTGATGATTGAGTTAACAATGTTTTATTTTGTAATTATTTTGTTGTATTCTTTTATTTGAAAATTGAGTTATCTAACACCATATCTACATTAAATTTTTTTTTTATATTTTTTTATTTGATAACTGAGGATAACAATGTTTCCAAATTTTTGGCGAATATACGGTAACTCATTTTTTCACACTCCAAAATCTCGAATTGAATTCGTAACGAGATTCTTACACCATATTCTGACAAGATTTCTTCAATTTATTTATTTTGAGTATACCACAATACTAAATTCTTTTACTTTTTTGTTCAAATTATTTTTTCATGCACCAGTATAGTACACTAGTGTCGTATTATAGTACTCCTTAAATTGAAAAGATTTATCTTCTTATTCTCTCTTTTTTTATGTGCATGAATATATTTTCAGTGATTTGGTTGGATGGAGTGAAAATATTACATTCAAAACACCGCCTTTTGCCGGTGCCAATGAGCTCAAGTTTATTGCGTACGGCGACATGGGCAAGGCTCCACTTGACTCCTCAATGGAACACTTCATGCAGGTACTCAAACAAGTTCAATCAGCAATATTAATTAATGATACAAAAAGTGCAAATACGACATTCTAACAGGACCAAAATGCAAATTAATTTCCGCTCTAAACGTGCAGTCGGGATCACTTAGAGTCGTCAAAGCTATGGCTGATGACATGTCATCTGGCCTTGTCGACTCCATTTTCCACATTGGTGACATAAGCTACGCGACGGGATTTCTTGTAGAGTGGGACTACTTTCTGAGCCTCATATCCACACGACTCGCCTCCCGAGTTCCTTACATGACCTCAATTGGGAATCACGAGAGGTATCTATCTATCTATGAATATGATGCATGTGTTCACTTCAGTTCAGACAAACAAAAATCATTCAATCAAATATTAAATCATTTTGCAGGAATTATATGGAGTCCGCATCACTCTACAAAACTACAGACTCGGGAGGTGAATGTGGAGTTCCTTATGAGACTTATTTTCCGATGCCAACGCCCGGAAAGGACATGCCGTGGTACTTTATTGAACAAGGGCCTGTGCATTTTACGGTTATCTCAACCGAGCATAACTGGTCTGTTAATTCGGAACAGGTATTTTAGTCTTAATAATTCACAACAGTTTGTCTGAATGTCCGAGAATAGTTCAAGCTTGTTCTAACATTTTATTTTTCTTAAATTTTAGTATGAGTGGATGAGAAAAGACATGGCTGCAGTGGACAGAACAACAACACCTTGGATAATATTCACAGGGTATGTATGCTTCATATGTTTCAAATAATCCTTCTTTTGGACCCGAAATTTTCATCTCAAAATCCAATATTGAAAAAAAAATAATATATGAGCAAAAATATTTAGGCATGTTTGTGGATGGATTGTAGGCATAGACCAATGAACACAACCAATCAAAGATACACTGGATTGCATAATGTCGACCACATGTTCATTGATGCAATTGAGCCATTGCTACTACAGAATAAGGTAAACTCGAGTTGGGTATTAATTAATTTTTTTTAATTGTAATGCACCTAAGTTAAAAATGATCTTTAATTAATTACTTTCTCTCGAGTTTGATCAGGATTCTTTTGCAATGTGACCTAACTAACTAGGTGGATCTGGTTCTGTTTGGGCACATATACAACTACGAGAGAACTTGTGCCGTTTATCAAAAAATGTGTCTATCAATGCCGACAAAAGAAGGGAATGGGATTGACACGTATGATAATACTAACTACACAGCTCCGGTTCATGCCATTATTGGGATGGCTGGATTTACGATCGAGGAATTTCCAACAGATGTATGTAAGCCTTAATTTACTCCAAACTCATAAATGCATCGGTTAAGTTGCAATATTGAGGCCTTCAAATTTAGTTATTATATTCTTCCTTTTTGTGTGCAGAGGAATAACAACTGGAGCTTGTCTAGGATTGCTCAGTTTGGGTACATTAGAGCGCATGCATCTAGGAATGAACTTAAAGTCGAGGTAAGTATATAGAAAAATACCATCAGCTATAAGTCTTAGCTTTTGTTTAGAAAGAGATGCTCGCTCGTGCACACAAACAAGATTCGAATCACGACCTAATAAAGTAGGTCATATACATCTAAATTGGATTTAAAAGTGATCAAGTATATACATGCTTAATAGTATTTTTCATTTTTTTGACAAATTCATGTTTCAATGCAGTTTGTGAATGCAGATACAAAGGAAGTTGGTGATAGTTTTCGAATAATTAAGAACTGAAAAGAAAGGTAGTTGCTGCATAGATTAGATATCTCAAACACGATTGTTTTGTAGAAGACTATCGACAATTTGTATTCAATACAAGATCGAGAAAGTCATCTTAATTGATATGAGTTGTGCACTCTACCACTCAGACATGCTACTATACAAGTGCTTACAATTTTTGGACGATATGAAAGGTGAAAAAAGTAAACCATATATTATTTTCAGGCAATGTTTTGACTGCAAATTATACGAATGTTTCTATATGGCCAAAATACATTGAGCTTAAATTTAAAACTTAGTATAAGTTCCTCTAGTACTCTTCATGATCATTCTTATTGAGATATCAAGAACTATAGGCATCCATTTTATAATTCAAATATGCATTACAAAAAAATCATCATATTCTAACGAAAAATACTACGGTAATATATTTTAATAAAAATTTCAAAATATTTCATATGGTATAGCTATTTTCTTAAAACCCCCAGTAGGGGGGGGGGGAGAAGGGATTGAGACTGGATCCTTAACATTATATAGTCACGATCTTAAATGGCGACAAAAGTCACTAGTCTACATAAGTCCAAGAAAAACTGAAATAAAGAAAAATATTACGAGGAAAAGAAAAAGACAACAGCTTAAGTTACCACTTCATCAGTGAATCTAAAAAATGGACCGGTTTTTTCTTGTTCCTCGTGCTACGCCTAATGCGCTGTTTATTCCCGAAAGAGTTTGTGTAGATCTTAGGACAACGGGACAGAGCAGGAGGGGGGGGGGAGCAATGATTGGTTTTCTACGCATGTTTGGGGCGACAGTAAAGTCATCTTTAAATTCGAAAAAGGGGAGCGAGTGGTTTGGGGAGTCTGGTTCAGAATGAGAAGAGCAAGACTTAACAATTACTGAACTAGACTTAGGTGAACCTGGCTCCAATGAGCCAGACATATTGCCCTCTCCCGATTCAGGAAAAAAAAGGGGGCCAGGGGTTTGGGTTGGGGAAGGAACCGTGCCTAATAAAGAGGGGTTGGGTGGAGACTTGCCAAAAGGAGGTCTCAAGTCAAAGGAGTCGGGTCCGGGACAAAAGATGGGCTAGCGGGGGTCGGAAGAGCAGAAGAAGGGGGACAAATATGAGGAGATGGTTCAACGTAGGGGGTTTTTCCCTTGTTAATTTTGGCGGGACGAATGGTTGAATTTTTTATGTAACAAGTTAAGTCATCGTGTCCTACATGAGAGAAATATGAACAATATTTTGGTAAGCGTTCGACCTTGATAGTGAGTTCGACGCGTTTGTTTCCGCAAGAAAGGACGATACTAGTGGGATGAGGGGATTCAAGATTGACAGCTACGCAAAAGCGATCATATTGGAGCCGAGGTTTTTTTAGTGTGGCATCATCGACTTTTAAAAGGATGCCAAAGATGTTGGCGATTGTTCGAAGAGCCTTTAAATCAAAGCAGTGAAGGGAAAGAGCTGAGATTTTGATCCAAACCGGGACAATAGGTGGTTCCTTTTTGAAATCGAAATCAGCGGACCATTTGAAAATCCTCATAGGAAAATTTAGAATAGAGATTGCGCATTTCGACCAAAGTTTTGTGGACGTGTTTGGATCATCGAATTTGATCAAGACGGGATTGGCTTGAAGGAAAAGAATTTAGCATCTGATGAAACCAAAGAGAGCAAGATTCGACCGAATAGCCTCATTGGAGGGCTTGTTGAAAGAGAATTTGTCAATGAGGGCATATTTGAGGTCCTCCGACATTTTAGAGACTTCCAGAGGGGAAAAAGAACCTTCAAAATGGTGCCGGATAGAGAAATAGAGCCATAGGAGAGGGGCTCGGGTGGGACGCTGTAACGCCCCACTTTGATTTAATGAAAATCCATGGCTTTTCAGAAAAATCAATTTAATTTTTTGAAACTCATTTGAAATATTTGTGGCATTACTCATCTATTTCCAAAGTCAAAACAAGCACATCACATGAATCACAATATACAGTCATAGTTATGACATCGAAACATAATTCATCACCTTATCAAAGGTTTCACCATAAGACATAAACACCCAAATTGGGTTTTCGATATCAAGTTTAAAAGACATAACAATGTCCACAGGCATCTTCCCAACAGTGTTCCAAAATAACATAAATAACCAGAGTTCGAAATATCCAAAGTCATAAGTTCAGTCATAGTTCAAATAAAGCGGAAGCAACACAAATATTTGTCCATTCATCTAGACCGACCACCACTCGCCTCACCTCATCGTGCCCGCAACCTGCTTAACCTGCATCTAGGGGATGGGAAGGACATGGGGGTGAGCACAAATATCCACTTTCTCACCACTATGCACATAAATGACAAATATAATAGGAAAGGTATGGTCGCAGCATGTATACGAATCAATTATCTATCCCATCTCCTATCCAAAGTCAAGCCTCATGTGCACACCTAGTCAATAGACTAATGTTGGTCCATGTAGCGAATGCCAAGGCCCCTGCCTTTGTCTTACAACGAGGCCCAAACAGTAGGAGTATCCCCCGTCGGCCAAGGTCCCTGCCTTGGTCTTACAACGAGGTCACCTGTCGGCCAATACCCTTGCCTTGGTCTTACAACGAGGTGTCTATCGCCGGCCAAGGGCCCTACCCTGGTCTTACATGCAAAAAGAGAATATTAACCCAACGGGGTCTGTTCTATATCTACGGGGATAACCGTTCGACGGCCGGTACAGTTCACATGCATACATTGATCATAGCATGCATATAACATCAATTACTCACGGCATAGATATTCATAAATCAACCCGCCTGGATATCGAAGAAGAATATGGCACCCAACTGTTGGAAGGATGAGAGCACGACTCATCAAACACCTACATTTATCAAGGTAGTCCTATCGACATACTATCCTGACAATTAGAGACATTCTCAACATCTTCTCTTAGTCGAACATTATCGAGTGATTCGTGGAATCTTTAGTGGAGTTTGGAACCTTTGGATTTACCAATTAGACTCAAACTACCAATTAAAATCATTTAAAGCGGACTCGACACTAAAACGAGGTGATGGGTCAAATGGGAGACAAACCAGTCGAGAAAATTCAAAAATGGTTCGGTTGGCGCAGCTGGTGGCTGTAAAATAATACTTACCAAAGCTTCGGGAGTTTGGCTCGGGGGTTTTTATCTCAAATTTTTATACATAATAGAGGACATAAAAAACACAATTTCACAAAAGTTTGACCTGTAAACGTCACCCTAACTCAAGTAAATAATTTTTGTAAAAACATGCTTAAAATCTAAATTTACGAGTTCACATAACTAGGGTTTGAATTTAGAAACGAAATTTGGATACAATGATAAACCCCCAGAGAACAGCAACACTTCAAAATTTCAGCTCATTTGAGCAAGTACATGATTTTAAATGATTTTTACAAGAAACAGGCCAGAAATCAATATCGCCAATTGACCAAGTTAAACATCGAATTTTGACCTGATATTTTTATCACATAAACCTCAATATCAGAGAGCACAAATATCAAAATTTTACATCATTTGCCCCAAAATTCGTTTTTTCATGAATTTTACAAGATACAACAGCATGCTCAACTTAATAAATTCATATCTCAAT